CGACAAGACAAAGATATATAAAAACTCAAAAAATCTTCATTAAAAAATGTAAAATACAGAAAACCTTAATACCAAATACAGTTAAAAACAGATAAAAATTTTCTAAATTAAAATTAGAGTTTCTACACAAAAACAAACAGTTTGACCAACGGGCTAAAAGGCTGTGAAATACGTAAAAAACTGAAGCAACAAACACAGTTAAAAACAATTTTTACAATAAAAATTAGAGTTTGTACTACAAGACAAGCAATTCAAACAACGGACAGAAAGATCCAATTTTAGTGCCCAAAAAGTTAATTTTTGGTCTCACTGCGGAAAAAGGCACTGAAGTTGATGCATCAACTGATTTAAATCACTATTCTACTAAGATTTGAAATGTAAACAAATGACGGCCTCGTTAGGCTTACTACCACTTAAACAACTTTTAAATTGTTGATAATTCTTCAACTACCGCATGCAAAATAACTAAAGGCACAAAACTCTTAACCTGGACATAAGAACAACAAAATTCAATCACTTTTCAAGCTAAAAATTCAAAATTTATCAACATTTCAGAATAAAAAAGCTGAACTCATTGGGCCAGGTAATATATATGTATATATATTTATATGCGTTTGGTTCGGCCAAGTGCAACCAAAAAGGGAGGTGCACAACTACATGTTATCAGTCTCATATACAAAATTTCAACGTCCTCAGGGTACTTTTTTTCGAGTTATGCAAGATATATACATATATATGCATGTACATACATCAACAAATATGTCTCTTCTGAATCCAATTTAAATCCTTTTTTGCAATCCTTTTGGAAAAAAGACCTCTTTATTCTGTCTGTACGTATGTCACGCAAAAAAAAAAAAAAAAAAAAAAAAAATCCAAACGGATTCTAGAGCGGCCAAAATGGATATTTTCGATGAAATCTGATACGCGAAATTTTTCGAGATTACAGTACTTCCTTTACTTCATACAAGGAAGTAAAAAGATCCGTTTGCACGCCATTTTACGTTTTAACTCCAACAACCAGAATAACACACAGATGACTTATCTTCTCTGCAGAATTAATTCTTGCAGCTTAAGATAGATAAACGTTTAATAAAGCATTTTAGAATGATGAAAGATTCTACTTCATAATCCTAAACTCTAGAAGGTTTCATAAAATTTAGATTGCTGCATACTTAAATCCAATAAAATTTTCATGGTATTTTTATTATATAAGAAATATATAATTTTGTATGATTCACACAATTGTAAATGTCAATTTCTAGAACCCTAAAGGCAGAGAGGCAACTTATTGCTTCATCTTATGTCTAAAATACTGTAATGCAAATGCATATGAAGGTTTGAAAAACATTTTTTAATTTGCATACCAGTTTGACGGATGCACACATCAATTAACAGTAACAAAAAATCAAATCTTCAAAGTTGAGGGAACTTCGCAACAAATACTCATGTAAACTTTGTACATACAAAATTTCCAGGGCTTAAATAAGCTCTGGTTCTGCCCTTACTAATCCACTAAGCAATTGTGGGTAGCCGATATTGAAACCAGTAGCAAAAAGAAATGCCAGAGTGACTGGTCAGCAATGGTTGTTCAAAGGCTCAAAACCTCTGCCCATAAATACGTGAACTAATTTGCCTCCTGGTGGAAGTTGACGAAAGTGGAGGTGCAAGTAAAGGCCAAATAATAATATAACTGGCTAAGTTACATAAAAACCTATGAGAAGTCTATATTGCATTAGCTATATCAGGTGAATCATAAATTCTACGTATTTTAAAGATTCTTTGATAGATCCGTCAGATTTCTTTGAAAGATCCGTCTGGAAACTAAATAAATATCCTTGAGAAAAATGCCAGTGTGCTGCTATTAAGCTTCCCAGAGATAGATAGCACCTGATAACAAACAATGTCTAGGTCTCTGGAGTAGTGTACTGTTGATGCAAATCCAATGGTAATCCATTACATCAGATAGCTGTGCACTCAGAGCCTCTGTTCGAATTGCTTATTTTAGTTGTTTCCGTTCTTATTCTGTCTCGTTCTTTGGCTTATTTATAGACTCTTCCGTAGGTGTCGGTCGTGACCTTCAAGAGTGAAATAAGAATTCTCTCCCATGTAAATCGTTTGCAACAAATCCAAGTCTCAATGGAAAATACTCCGTTGAGTTTATTTACAAAAGGAAATGAGACTCAGTTTATTCTTCTAGTGGAGAAAACTACCGTCAGTTTTAAAATGATATCAAACAGTAAAGTCATAAAATTGTGTAATTTTTCTGCTTATGATTGCAAGGAAATAATCATGAAACTAGCAAATTGTACTGCATATAATTAATTCATTAACATATTTTAATGTTCATTATTAAATACAAAATAAGGACTTAAAATACACACGTTTTAGAGAAACCAAACGATGAATATAGGGGTGCCTTTATATATAGGGCCCATCAGTGACTACGTGGATAAGACAGCTGAATGCTGGTAGTTTGATTTGGGTTACAATCCCGGTAAATGGGCTGATTGTGCAGGCACTTTCCATGTTTTTTTCTTTTGTAAAACAAAAGTATGATCAAGTTTCCGTAAGAATGTTTTGTACGAAAGCATTCGTCTACTGGCAGTTAGCCCTCATATGTTTTACTTTAATTAAACAAGGCCAAACATTAATGACTAATTTTGAAATGAAAGTTAACTCGTATTCGAATTCAGTTTGGGGTAAAACATGAGAATGCTGATACTGCCAAATTCTTCCGATAGGATTTGAAAATGGGCTGAATGACCATTTGGCCACTAATGGATTTAACCTGCTACCATCTTCAGAGTTCCCATTTTGATGATAATAGATAAGGCTAGGTTAAAATTACAGCAAAGTTTTCGAGGGTTAGCTATTTTAGGTTGGATTAATTTTGAGAGAAAAATTGGTTGCATCTCTTTTACACATAGGGAAATGAGTCAATCCATTCAGTTGTCAGAAATCGAACTGGTGAAGAGTTATTAGGATTTAGTTAAAATTAATTCATTGAAGTTTATGAAAGCAGGGGAGTGTGAGACATGGAAAGCAAAAGATGCAAGTATTCGTACTAAAAATATCTAGAAGATATTTTAAATACTACATATGGCATACTAACACAAAGCAAACTAACTGAAAAGTAATCTCGGAACTATATTTTCTGCGGAACCCTGAAATTCCATGAAATTCGTCTAGGGCGTGGTTCTCAACTTAGCTGACTTCATGCACCCGTTTTAGAGATCATACCCATTCCTTTTCAAAACTCGAAAAATACATGTGCATTTATTTCGATTTAAATTACCTTTTGAAGTGTTTTATAAATTAAATAACAAAAATTATAGAAAATATTGATAAATACCAATACGCGAACAAAAGTAGTTTTCTTTATTCATAAATTAAAACTCACTTAAACAACTAAATAAAAGTCTGATTGAAATCCCCGGCTGAAACTATTAAATTCCTTCTTAGTTGAGGAAATTCCTCTTGGTGGTTCGGAAGTCAAAAATCAAGATTTGGAAGATAATTTGAATAGTATGCGAGTATTTTAGTCCAAAGGGGCAATTTGCCCAGAAGGATTATTAATTTCCTTTTGGCATTTTGCGTTGGTTCACGATAAATGTCGGTTCACTTTTCAAATTGTTGCCACCAAATATTAGATCCCTGCATTATATTTAAAGAAATTAAATAATGAAGAATCTGCATAAATGTATTATGTTTCTCGCATTGTGATAAAACAACGGTACCTAGAGCCCTCAAATTTTTAATAACGAATGTTTCCACCTGCATATGGGCATCTGGATGCCCAAATTTGGAATCTGGAGTTTGTTTTACTCTATTTTATATTTTTTATTTTTGATTAACTGAACGATTTCAAAGTGAGCAATGGCAACACTATACGAAAAAAAAATTACCTTTAGCGCGCGAGACTGTGTATCGTGAATTTATTTCGCGATGTTGCTGTTGAACTGAATTTTATGGTTTAAGTGTGAAGAACATGATATTTAATAAATTAAGGTAACATGCAAAACGTTAAGAAAACGCCTCTTTGGGAATAATATAAAATCTGAAAGCTCTCAGATTTTTTTTAAATTTTTATTAGTTACTATCTATTTTAAACAAGCCCCCTTGTTTGTGTTATTTTTTTTCTTTGTATATGGTAGTGAGAAGACATGAAAATAATTGATCATAATATTGAAGAATACGAAAGCAGAGGACTGAAATATAGAATGCGAAAGGCATAAGCATTCATGCTAATTTATCTAAGAAATGCTGTGGCTACTATATAGGTATGAGAATGTAGTACAAAATCAACTGACTAAAGATCTAACTTGTTATCGAATTATTTTGAATGTGAACCCTGGGATTTCATCAATTACTCTAGGGATTTCTCAAGTTAACATGAAAATTTGACGGCTATTTTGATAATATGGCAACCGAAATTTAACATCTTAAATACTTAATTAAATATTTTTTATTTTCATTGTTATTTTTACATAAAATAAAACTAAATAAATTAGTTCTGATGCATAAATCTATAGTAAAATATAATATTTTCTTTTTCATTTTGCATACATATAATACGCAACACTGATATATATTCAGTGCTTTTTGATGACTTTTCTGAGAATGGTCGAAGATTCACCCATCACATAAATAAATAACTAAATAACTAAATAAATATTAGCTTCCTATCAACAAGATAATTTCAGGACTTCTCCAAAAGATGTTTGAAGACCAGAGTAATAAATCAATAAATACGAGTGAATTAATATAGCTTGTGGCATTTGAAACTGATAACTATGAACGCATAACTATGAACGAATGTATATTTACTATGGACCACGAATACCATAGCTGCATTACCACTTATAAATGGATACAATAGATGCATATTACAATGCATCATGTTGTGTCATTATTCATGTAAAAGCAATTAAACGGAGACTGAGGGCGGGATTATGTTCCCAGTTTCAGGTACCCTGGAAGTAATAAGATATATCACTCACTCGTTGGATGACCAGGGGAAAGCCGATATCCTTGCCCCCATGGAGTCGAAAACCCCACGGAGTAGATGGCCCATCGCGGTTGAGGGTCACATTGATTATCCCGGAAGTCATCTCCAGGCGTTTCTTGGCTCACTTAACTATCGCAAACGGTACATGGAAGTACTGCCCGGCTCGAAGAACCGAGCCTTCGGTACTGAAGGTGTGTTTCCTTCGACCGAGTTCGTCCTACGCGGAATTTTGCAGTTGCGTCAGCGTTTCGCACGCGACGGGATGCGGAGAAAGTTTGGGAGGTCGTTCCCAAATTGAAAGCAAGCACCCCCATCTTCTTACTTTCAGCGCCACCAAATTTTAAAACGGTGCCAAGACGAAAAGGCTTGTCAAGAGTGTCTCGAAAATGAATTTGACAAGTAATCCAATATCGAATTCAGATGTGTAAAAGATTTTTATGAAGCCGTTTTTGGAACATATTGCTTAGAGTTTCGAGTTAATGGTGCGAGAGTCTATTCTACTCTTTTAGTCGTCGGTATATCTGAAAAGAATTCGAAAGTGTTTGTTGATAAGGCTCTTTTAATTTGAGAGGGAGGAGGGGGGCGTTAAAGCATCCAATCCATCAGAAACCTTGTAGCCGAGCCAGGAATATTTATGAATCATACTTTTGGCAGTTAGGCGAATTTATTCTGTACTGTTCCTGTTTCGATAGTACCCCTTTTCCCTTCAAAAAGTGAAGCCGTCTTTGAAGGTTTGAAGTTTGAGAAAGTTCTTTTATGCGAATATTTAGATAATATTCTTGAACACAAACAGTGAGATAAGAAGCTGAAATTGAAATTCATTGTACCGATATAAACTACATAATAAATTATAATAACTGAATTTTATTTTCGCGATATCCGACTATGAGTCATAACTATTTATATTTGATTTTAAACACTCTTGCCCATCATTTGCGGTTATGTGGTTATCGTCGAAGGTAAAAAACACAATTTTGGGTTTCAGAATATTTCTTAGATATATAATATTCTTTAATTAAAAGGATTTATTGAATTGCACAGATTCAAACCACGTGACATGTACTTGCATACATATAAACACATTTCTTTGCCTGAACACTCGAATTTGTAAACTGATGCTTCAGACTTGTGATTCTTCAAGATTTTGCTTTTCATGAACATTTCTGAGGTAAATATATCTTCAGAAGTTCATCATTGTAAATAGAATAATTTGCTTTTGGTTTAAGAAGCATATTTTTATAAGTATATCAGTGTTCGTTAAATTCATTCTAGAAATTATAGAGGAAAACAAATGGTTTAGACGTTTAGAGGATTTACCATTGAAAAGTTCGATTTTGAAACGCTCTGTTAGAGATATTGAATTGAAAAATATTAGAAGAGGCTAATTTGAAAGATTGAAAGAACTTTAATTATTCTGCTGTAAAAAAATGAGTTTTCAGTAACATGACTATGACCAATGTGTTTCTTTCATTTCAAATTTTATACTTCATATCGAAGCAGTTATTTATACTGTAGAAAAAATATAAAACATTTTCAAAATATTTTCCATAAATGTTTATTTAAGCTATCATTGAACTGTAACAGAGAGTTTGAAACTTATATGTTCACTATCTGTGCTAGTGTCTCTTTAGACAAACTAGGCTAATGAGAAATGTATTTTCTGTAATTTTACTGCTTTTTAAGGTAAATAGCTGCGAAACTTAATATACCCAAGTATTTCATCACTCAAAATTAATTTTTTCTTTCCATATTTTTTCTTTCTGAACCTTAAGTATTCCCTTATTAGCAATAAATGAATACTTAAGATTATTAACAATAAAAGGAAAAGATATAGTTTAAAATTCTCGAACCGTGTTCCACTGAAATTTGCATTAATTACTATACGTACCAATATACTACAAGAAAAGATACCCCATAAACTTGTTAATAGTAGATTTTTCTTTTTGCAGATATCGTTTCTTCTTTATTTAGTCTTCTAACCTCTTCCTAATCATCAGTTCCAAAATTAGAAGAAATAGTTACTAAAGTTACTATGTTACTAAAGTTTCGTACATGCATAACAATAGCTCAGGACACTTTGTGTTTAGTTACACAACATATACATGAAGTAAACAAATGTACAGGAGAGAACATTATAGAATGAAATAAAATAAAACAAGTAAGAAAAAAATTGCAATCTGAAAACTTCAGAATATATCTCGAACTTCTTGCTAAAGTTAAAAAAAAAGTTAAACAATATTAAAAAATACAATATTAAAAGGAAACTGCAGTATTATCTTGGCATGCTGATTTCATTTTACTACCTGAAACAATTTTAAATTATTGATAAAAAAAATCAAGCAATTAACCCGCTATTTTCAGAATTAATCCTTCTGAAATAAAAAATATAAAATAAAAGCCTTATACTTAAAACGAGCTATTCAAAATGGCAAAACCGAATGGTTGCTCGAATGAGAAAATGTTTGCTGAAATATTATTTCATCGTGAAATATTTACACTTGGAAACGTGCATTTATTTAATAAAAAAGGATTTAGTTATTCTAGATGTAACTGTGCATGTTACTCAAGATTTTTACTACGCATTTGTTTCACTGGACCGCTCACACACGGGTCTTGCAAAAAGCATTTTCCTCAAATGATGGTACTTTATATTTATCCAAAAATAAAACAAAAAGTTCAGTTTCAGTTCTACAAAAAGAACTGAAACAATAAATACTTTCAATTGCTTCAAAATGTTTAATAAGAGACTTTATATATATTAACTTCTTGTTTCGTTAATTAATTTCCATTAAGGTGTTTTCTAGTGCAACTTTGTTTATTTGAAAAGCAAATATTAAAATTTTCAAAAATGCACGCATGTCTTGCATACGTCACCTGCTACATACTGAATATTTCAAAAGGTTATTTTTTGTAATTAATAAAATTTGATTTTAACTTAGCAATGAAATTTAATAAAACTTAATGAATTAATGGAATTTGATTTCGATGTAATTTTAATTTTTGAATTAATAAAATGTGATTAATGAAATTTGATTTTAACAACTCAGGGTAAATTCCTTTCTTCCATCATTTATTAATTCCAATCTCGGCAGTGTTTTCCCCCCATAGAGAATCGAACGCATTTTACCAGCTAAGTTTTATCCGGATTTCCTAAATCAACTACTTCATGACTTTTTTTTTTCATTTTCTGTATTTCGATTTGTTACATTAGTATTGCTCTGAACCTCTCTCTACCTTGAATTCTGTAAGTAACAATTCACTTCGTCAATGGCCCCGCGAAGTGAGTTAGAAGTCGGCGGTTGGGAGTAGCAAAAACGCTCTTCTTTCTTTGTGACTAAAATTATAAATAGAGCAGATCATCTGTCCTAGAACTTCCCAGCTGCCTTGTGTCGAAGGTTTACAACAGACATTAAACTGCGATTGTTTTTTGCTCGTACCCTACTTAATGGGGCATGGTTATACCTTAAGAAATGTTTCTATTCAGTCATTAATGAGTTATATTATTATTAATAACTTAATTACCATTTCTTGAAACAAAATCAACTATGATATTTTAAATTAATATCCCCCTTGTTTCAGGAAATTGTTTTGATTTACTGATTTTACTCTCAATTTGGTTTACCATGTCCATACTTTAAATCACTTCTCTTAGGATTTACTGGAAAAAAAAAAAAAAAAAAAACAGTTGCAAAAGGATCATTTATGCTATTTGTGAAAGTGGAATATTTATAAAACTTCTGTTATTGATTCCCTAAGAAATGTAAGACGTAAACTAAATGAATTCATGATTATCTGAACTTACACTAATTTTCCTATTCTGATTTACAGAAATAAGGTATCTGAGAAGAACGAATCTTTAGAAAGATATACTTTATGCAGTTTAGACAAATTAATTCATAGTAAGTAATCCTCGATGGAATAATGTCTATAAGGTAGTATAACATATTCCTTTCGAAAAATTACATATTACTTAAAAATTAGCATATTACTTTAGAAAAATGAAACATGAGTTATTGTATTGTTGTGAAACATGAGTGTTATGTCATGGTATAGGATAATATAATCCAACCATCAACTCCATCAATCTATACCAACCCAACAAACAAGGTTAAGCTCTTTCCAACACTCAAGTTCAATAACTTCACTTTAAGAAAAGAAGAGAGAGAAAAGACGACAGAAAGGGAATAGGATATAGCTGCTTTTGAGCAGATTATGAGTCAGTGACGTCACGGAAGTGTAACCTTATTAGTGAACACTAAGCGGTAGTTTTAACGATGGAAATAAGAAAACCTCATCTGGTATGGGACCATACCAGGTGATCGCGGAGCTTGCGGAGTCATATTGTTGAGTTTCATCACCAAAAATCTCATGAACAACGAAGATGCAGAAAAGACGTGAGTAGATGCATCATCGTGGTGAAAAATCCACGAGATTTCTCTTCACAGTTTAAGTCATTTTCTACGTATTGCTTAGTATTGCTACATATTGCAATGTATTTCTACGTATACTGCAAAACAATCGAGTAGTATTATTTGTTAATAATTTGAAATCCAATTAATAAAAATTTCATGTCGCACAGCAGAACTGCATTCAAAGGAAGCAGTCAAGTTGTGTTAACTTATGACCGACTATGACGTGGCCTTTTTGATCTTGTTCCACCTTTCGAACTGCGCTTACTTGACTGTTGGATTGTTTCTACATCAAAAACGTAGATGAAGATGGACAAAAGCCGGCCCGTTGTTTGAGTGAGAAACTTTTAATTGCTTAATTCGGCTCATTACGAAATCCTCTGAAACGACATTTTCATCTCTTTTCTATCCGATTTTGCACTCAAACTATTAAAAGTGGCATAAGTGCGCATTTACTACTACAGTGTATATGCGCATACACGGTTACGTTATTAGTCAACTTAAGCTGAGAGCACTAGATATGCTAGAAAGCAAGTGCCTCCGCTAAGAATATTGTTCTTGCCAAGAATTCAACCATTCTCTCCTCTCTCTAAGACACGTAGTAAAATAATCAATTAGCTCTAACCTAAAGAATGGAAAGCAGGAAGAGCTGTCACGATTCTGTATTCACTCTCAAGGGCTTATTTAAAGTAAAACGTATGAAATTAGCTATATAAATTGCTATTTTAAATTGTAATTTTTAAAACATTTCTACCTGGGAAGGGGTGTTTCCCTCCCCCATCTCTTTCTGGAAAACATTAGAAACGCCACAAAAGATTGTCACACAAGAACCATTGCACGTTGTCAAGGACCTT